GAATTTATATGTAGGTAATGGTCACGAAAATGTGGAATTCAATAAAGAATTAAGCAATATAACATAATCACATATAAGGTAATGGTAAAGGTTCCCTTGCTCGAAAGCCAGTCGAGTCCGACTCTAGGGTTGCGGTGCTCATCTCCGTTTCAAAGCCGAAGAGCCAGCGCTGTCCGAAGACGTTTCCGTGGTCATGTGGCCGGCATGACTAAACACCAAGGCGCACGGAACGCTGTTGCCTTCCCACCGAAGTGGTACCTATTTATCTACTTGCAATTTCTCGCTTTCGAACTGCTAGGTTGGCAGGAGCTGGGGCTAGAGACGGAGCTCACTCCATCATGCAGCAACTCGGGTCTCGAACTGCTGAACTACTGACCTTCCACAGCCTGCAGTTCAGCGTCTTAACCACTTGAGCCACCGCAGTTCCATAATCACATATACAAGGAATATAAATACGATAGCACAAATGATGTCAGAGGCTGTGGCCACACTGGCGGCTTGGCGTGATATAGTGTTGCCTCCAATTGAACCGGTTTAACGTGTTGTGGGACGTATCAGCCACACAGCACACCCTGCAACGGATTTCCCACGGAGACATCCCGTGGTCAAGCATCCACATTATAGCAGCGCCTCAGCCATGGATCTGCAGGTTCAGACTGCCAAATCCGTTCTGCACGCGCTCCCCCGCGTTCAGACATCTGGCCATGCGCAATGACTGCGCGGGGAACCAAAAACACCACTTGTGATGTGGCGCCTTTTTAACCCGGCTCCAAGTCGTCCTATGAGGGGATAAGTATGGCCGGGCAACGCCCGGCAGATGTGCCTGCCTGACTGCGCCCGTTTGATCCAGAGGGGAGGGGTGGCTGTGTCAGGCCAAACTGCCCCGTGTGATCACGGCCAGAGAATGGTCAAACAATAGCGATCCAAAAAATTCCAAAGAATCAGTCCAAAGGGATCCGAGCATCAGAAGTCAGGCAGAAGGGTTTTTTTTAAAAAAGGCAGAAGTAAAAAAATCAGGCAGAAGTCACACAAAGTCAGGCAGAAGGCACATGAGGATTCCAGATATAAAAGCCTCATTTCGGCACGCTTCATCAGTGGAGCTAATCACAGTGCATCAATTAATTAATCACTGTTACATAAGTCAGAGTCATTAAAGAAGACAGTCATTCCAAAAAATCCTCATTTATATACTTATCTGGGCACCAGTCAAAAAGTAATACAGAGAATCAAGCGAGAATCAATCTAATGCTGGTAAAGCCTTGCTTCTGAAGTTCTGATGCCTTTGGGCCGATTCTTTGGACTTTTTTGGATCCCTATTGTTTGACCATTCTATGACTTATAGTTTTTGCTATGGAATTTATATTTAAATATATACTTATTTAAACACACACATACATATATATACATTTAAATATATAAATATTTAATTTAATTTAAATTTAAATTTAATATACACACACACAAACACATACATATATATATATATATGGGCTGCGGTGGCTCAATGGTTAAGACACTGAGCTGCAGACCAGAAGGTCAGTAGCTCAGCAGTTCGAGACCCGAGTGTGCCGTGTGATGGAGTGAGCTTCCGTCTCTGGTCCCAGCTCCTGCCAACCTAGCAGTTCGAAAGCAAGACATTGCAAGTAGATAAATAGGTACCACTCTGGTAGGAAGGTTAACAGCGTTCTGTGCGCTTCGGCGTTTAGTCATGCCAGCCACATGACCACGGAAATGTCTTCAGACAGTGCTGGCTCTTCAGCTTGGAAACAGAGATGAGCACCACCCCCTAGAGTCGGATTCGACTGGCTTTCAAGCAAGGGGAACCTTTACCTTATTTATATTCCTTATATATGTGATTATGTTATGTTGTGTTGCTTAATTCTTTATTGAATCCCATATTTTCATGACCTTTACCTACAAATAAATCCTTAGTTATATTTCTGCATTTTATTACAGTGTATTTGTTATTTTCATGTATGTTTACACACTGTAATCCTTCTTGTGCATTCTCACTGCTTGGCAAAGAAGATGCAGGCATTGGGTTGACAACAAACTAGAATGGGAACTGAGAATCCAACTCTAGGAATCCAGCTCATTTCCAACAGTGGGCTACTGCATAAATTGGTTTGCTCTGGAGCCATCCCTTCCTCAGCGAAGACAAAAATCTGTGAGCTGGAGGCTAAAGAACTGTGAGCTAGCTCACACTCACTCAGCTTAGAGGGAATACTGGTGCCCAGTCAGATCCCTCCACAAACTCACAAGCAGTAGCACAGCGGGAGTGGTTATCCTTGTTGTTTGTCCCACTGTCCAGTACGTGGCTATGGGAAACTAAGCAGGAGTATACTGAACATAAGAACACAAGAGAAGCCAATGCTGGATCAGGCCAATGGCCCCTCCAGTCCAACACTCTGTTTCACACAGTGGCCAAAAATACCACGTGCCCTCAGGAGGTCCAGCAGTGGGGCCAGGACTCTAGAAGCCCTCCCACTGTTGCCCCCCCCTCCAAGCACCAAGAATACAGAGCATCCCTTGCCCTAGACATAAGAACATAAGAGAAGCCAATGCTGGATCAGGCCAATGGCCCCTCCAGTCCAACACTCTGTTTCACACAGTGGCCAAAAATACCACGTGCCCTCAGGAGGTCCAGCAGTGGGGCCAGGACTCTAGAAGCCCTCCCACTGTTGCCCCCCCCTCCAAGCACCAAGAATACAGAGCATCCCTTGCCCCAGACTGAGAGTTCCTATCTATACCTTGTGGCTAAGAGCCACGGATGGATCTCTGCTCCATATGCTGGCTCCATATACTGGTGGTGGTGGAAATTGTCATCAAGTTGCAGTCTGTTTATGGCAATCCCTCATGGGGTTTTCAAGGCAAGAGACGTTCAGAAGTGGTTCTGCCCTTGCCTGCCTCTGCATAGCAACCCTGGACTCCCTTGGTGGCCTCCCATCCAAGTCCTAACCGGGACTGACCCTGCTTATCTTCTCAGAATGGGACCATATTGCCTTGGCAGAAAGGAAATCTGAGTCTGAAAACAGACCCATCTCTAAGGTTGGCCAGCACCTTTCATCCCCCCCCCCCCAGTAAACATGAATAATTATTACCTGCTTTTCATAAGATCAACCGTGAGCTACCAAAGCCACCTTCAGGAGAGGCTGATGGGCTGATTCCTCTTCCAGATCTGGTGTACATACGAAGGTCTCCATGACGAGAGCCTGAGGGCAGCAGGAGGCATGGAATTCCCCCAGATTAATTATGCCCGTTGCAATGGGACGCAGTACCGTTTCTTTTATGCCGCTGGGTTTACTCATATCGTTGGAACCTCGCTGGTTAAGGTCGACACGAAGACCAAGGAGATGAAGGTGAGCTCATGCGAGGGCTCCTCTGTGGCCTGGAAGCCAGGTGCTAAATATAACCTCATGTTGTTGATTTTTTGAGGGGGGGGGGGTAGATATGGCTGCCCACTCAAGTTTGAGAAATTGCTGAAGATCTTGGGGTGGTTTTGAGGAGAGAAAGGCACTCATTAGTAGTGTTGCCAACTCCAGGTTGGGAAATTCCTGGATATTTTGAAGGTGGCGCTTGGGGAGGGCAGGGAATCTCTCCGTGAGGCATAATGCCAAGAAGAGTAAGTGGTGTTAGTGGGATAACTGTTCAAAAATGTTAAGTTGATAAATGTTCAGAAATGTTAAAATAGTTTTTTTCTGTTACACAATAGGCTTTTGATGCGACTTGATCCTCATCTCTTGTCGTTGCTTGTTTAATGCTTTTGAGGCTCATTGTTGTTAATGACGATTTAAAAACGAATAAAAAAATATATTTTAAGAAAAAGGTATAATGCCGCAGAGTCCGTCCTTCAAAACAGCCGTTTTCTCCAGGGGAACTGATCGATGTCATCTGGGGACCAGTGGTAATTCCAGGAGATCTCCAGGCAACACCTGGAGGTTGGCAATCCTGGAGAAGTGATGCCATGGATTCCACCTTTGGAAACTGCCAGTTCTTCTGGAAGAACTCCACACACACACACACACACACCAGTCTTAGAGGCTGGCCACTTTAGAGAATCAGCTCTGAAAAGCTGCATCCAAAGCCCCTTCTGACCCCTTCTTTTTGCCTGCTAGATGTGGAAAGAGGAAGGCATGTATCCTTCCGAGCCAGTGTTTGTGCCAGATCCTAAGGGTACTGGAGAAGACAGCGGAGTCATCCTGTCAGTAGTGGTCACACCCAAACATGTAAGTTTAGTTTTCACCGCTTGTAAAATGGACGCCGTTTGGACTTTTAATTTTAGGCTGCTAAAATCCTGTTGTACTATGCCCTCTAGTGAGCACTGTCATGCATAGCAGAGTGCACGGCATAGATAACATATGCTCCTGTGAAATGTCAAAATCCGCTTGCAAACGGTCACTGAAGTGGATTGAAATTGCATTATTTAGCATGCGTGAAAGCGCCCTGAGGTCACAAGTCAAAGCTTCCCTCATCGGATAAGAGTTGGAATGGGTGAGGAAGTAACTGTCGTTTGATTTTATCTGCCCTTCTTGTTTCAGAACCAAGGCACTTTCCTGCTCGTTCTTGATGCTGAGAAATTCACTGAATTGGGCCGCGCAGAAGTTCCAGTGCAGATCCCCTATGGTTTCCATGGCATATTTGTCCAGCAGTAACAAGGATCCTGTTCATCATGGGTGGCCGCATAACAGCAAGGAAAGACTCCATAATGCTTTGAATCTCAAGGATTCTCCCCTTTCTGGGCTTGGGCAAATTCAGTATGTGTCTCGCTTTCCTTGCCTGTCTGATGGTGTTTGAGAACAGCCCTGATCCTCAGAGGTATTGGGAGTGAGATGTGGATATTTTAGTGAGCGATGGACATTGCCCCAACACAAAGCTTTTTAAGCAGGCAATCAAGAGACGCCAGGTTTAAGGTCCCGATCAGACGGGTCTTTAGATCCGACCCAGGCACAAGTGCCTAGTGTATTTAAAGGGAATGATCAGACAGTTACATCTGGGAAAGGTGTCGCCCCACCAGGGAGCCATACTTTAAAGATACCGGTTAAAGTCCGAGGCTAATGCTTGCTGACGGGCCAATGGCGGACTTCTCTCCGTCTGATCATTCCAGCGCGCAATCCTTCCGTCGGGATGGTCTAACTCCAGACCCTCCAGAACGGCTGCCATTTAAAAAAATTCTTAGCAATATGCACATAAACATGTAAATGCGCGACAGCTGCAGAGCTCCACTCCAACGTTCCAGACAGTTTCATGTTTCTGAATGGCCTGTGAAATTTATGAACTGCGTTCATTGAAATGGTACCTAGAGGGAGGTACCACTGGCGGTGCTTTAACCATTAAATTCTGCGTATGCGCGGAAAAAACAAGTACACGTTGAGGCGCCAATGCGCATGCACAAACAGATTTTTTTAAAAAAACCAAAAAAACAAACGACCATGCGGCTCCTTCAAGTGGACGCCGTGGAGACAGTCCACCACAGAGTCCACACGCAGGAAGGGGATTCACGGGGGAACCGTGTGGTCGTGCAACACCGGATAAAAAGATGGGGATCAAATTAGAGCCAGGCCATTGGCAGGATTATCTGCCTGTCTGAATGCACCCATAGGTTAGCTGGGGAGTTTAACCTTTTATTCTTTATTTTTTATTGATTTCCTGTATTATGATTTTACTGTGTACACGTGCCCACAGCTGTTGAGGCATTTTATGATTTTTAGAAGAAATTCTTACAGTAATTATCAATAAGATGAAAAAAAATCATTTTTGGAGAAGACAGAATAGAAGAGAAGGGAAATGATGTAGCTCTTCTCACTCAACTCCCTCTTTACTGAGAGCATCTGCAAGACTTCACAGATGGAAAGGCAATGCCCCTTCTTTCCGGAACATGAGGCAGGAGAAGGTAACCTCGGAGTCTGCAAAGAGATGCAATCGATTTTATTAAGTAGGGGCTGGATTGTGCAGATCTGTCTTGCTGACGACAGTGGATTCCTCTTCTGGGAGGTGCCTTCCCCTGACGCAATGCAAGAAATTCTCTGAAGTCGTTGCTCCGGGGGAAGGCTCCAAGCCTTAGCGGAACGGATCCACTGGATCTGGTTCAAGGCGATCGGATGCTTCTAATGTCCTGGCCCCACTGGTGGACCTCCTGATGGCACCTGGTATTTCTGGCCTCTGTGTGACACAGAGTGTTGGACTGGATGGGCCTTTGGCCTGATCCAACACTGGCGTCTCTTATGTTAAGAGCAGCAAGGCTCCTTTGCCTTCCACAGCTGGGCAGAAGCGGGAATTCTGACAGATGCCGCTCTCCTCACCTCTGCATTATAAATGACACTCCTGACCAGTGTTCCCTCTAAGCTGAGTCAGTGTGAGCTAGCTCACAGGTTTTTAGCCTCCAGCTCACACATTTTTGCCTTAGCTCAGGAAGGAGGGCTCCAGAGCAAACCAATTTATGCAGCAGCCAAATGGCTCGCTCACAACTTTAATGCCACTAGCTCACCAAGTAGAATTTTTGCTGACAGGTCTCCACAGCTTAGAGGGAGCATCGCTCCTGATGTTCCTCTCCTTTTACCCAGCTTTTCCAAAGCACAGGATCCTTGCCATCCTCATTTGCCTCTGGTTAATGCATGATGTTGGAATGCAAAAGGGGGGAAAAGTTGCATTGGGTAGCTTGGTCTGTTGGTAAAGCCCTGCTGCTGCTGGTTGACACCCCCCCACCCCCCCCCCCCACTGCACCCCCAGTTCCCTTCGCGTTGCTGACAGTTTCTCTCTGCTTCTCTCGGGGAAATCCCCAGTTCGAGCTGCCATCGATGCTTCCTTTGAAGGGGAGGGGCGTCGGGAAGCAGCCAGGAACTGGAGCCGACATTCACAGTTGTTTTTCGGCCATGCCTGCCCACCAGCTTACTGAGTTTGTTTGTTTATTTATTTATTAGAACTTCTGTATCCTGCCTTCCCTCTTGGTTCAAGGCAGCTTACAATAATAGTTAAAACATCCCCAGCTAAAACCACAGATAAAATAGGGAGCTATAAATCACTCCGTTTGGTGCAGTGGTTAAGTGTGCAGACCTTAATCTGGGAGAGCTGGGTTTGATTCCCCACTCCTCCACTTGCAGTTGCTGGCATGACCTTGGGTCAGTTACAAGTTCTCTCAGAGCTGTTCCCTCAGGAGCAGTTCTCGAAAGAGCTCTCTCAGCCCCACCTCCCT